CCGGCGAGAAAGGAAGCCTGCGGGAGACGCAACCAGCGGGGGAAGGCGGACCTGGAAGAAGGGGCCAAGGAAAAGGGTGGGGGGCGAGAGGGAGGCATGAAAGGACCAGCCCGGGAGGGCTCCCCCCCTTTCCTTTGAATCCCCCGGGCTGGTCAGTGGGCCTCGAGAGCAGCCTGGTGGCGTTGGTGGCCTTGCCCGGCTGGCAGTGGCTCAGGCGGCCTCAGAGGGGAACCTCCTCTGGGTGGCTTGTTATCTGTTTTTTCTGGAGCCTGGGGGTCTGGCTGGGGGTTGGCAGCCTCAAACCGACCCCCATCCCCCATCCCGACAGGGTGAGCCCCCCGGGCAAGGGGGTGGAGGAACCCCTTAACTCTGCCCAGAAACAAGGACTAATAAAAGTGGGGAGCCCCTGACAGACCCAGGTTCGAAGGGGGTCCCGTGTTGCCAAACCCGAGAAACCAGGCTGAGGTTTGTCAGCATCGCCGAAATGTCGGCACTGACCTCACCCTGTTCTTGTGTCGGGCGGTTCCGCAGGTCAAGCCCTCTGCCACCGACCTCGTCTTCCGCACCGAGAGGCATGTTCCCAAGCTGGGCGTGATGCTGGTCGGCTGGGGCGGGAATAACGGGACCACCGTGACCGCCGCGGTCTTGGCTAACAAGCTGGGTCTCTCCTGGATGACCAAAACCGGCCTCAAGGTGAGCCAACCGCTGGCGCGAAAAGTTGCGCACATGCCTCGGTGGGTGTGATCCTCTGGGCACGAGGGCCAAAACGGTGAGCACGGAGACCTTTTTTACGTTCCTCTTGTGGCACATTGTGGTTTGCTCTCATTTTCCTGCAGGCGGTTGTTTTTGATCCATGCATTTCTTTTTTCACTGCAGGGGGGGGGAGGATCATTTTTGTTTATTTTTGAAAGACTTGTTTTGCTGCGGCCGCTCTGGACTTCAGAGGTGTTTTTAAAAAAAAAAATAGATGAGATAGAAGAACCAGAGGAGGGCCAGGAAGGGACCTGGGTGGGAGGAAAGGCGGAGCGGAAACATGAGGGCTGGATAAGGTGTGGTTTGCTGACTCTCTTGCTGCTCCTCTGCTGATGCCAGCTCTCTGCCCCCCCAACCCCATTGTGCCTCCTTCCCCCCTTAGCACGCCAACTACTATGGGTCCCTCTTGCAGTCTTCCACCGTCTGCCTGGGCACCGGCCCCTCCGGCGAGGTCCACGTGCCTTTCCGGGAGCTGCTTCCCATGGCCCACCCCAACGACATCGTCTTCGACGGTAAGGGCCCCGTTTTGCAAACAGAAAAGAAAACTCAAGATTAGGGTTTGGCAGGACGAAGCGAGCATCGCCCGCGCACATGAGGGATGAAAGAGCATTTAGAAAGACCATCCTTTCCCGGCGGGACGTGATTCCGGACAGCCGTCTCTGAATGCTCCTCACCTTCCTCTCTCTCTCTGTGTCTGTGTGTGTGCTAGGCTGGGACATTTCTTCCTTGAACCTGGCCGAGGCCATGCGCCGAGCGCAAGTCCTGGACTGGCCGCTACAGGAGCAGCTCCAGCCGCACATGGAAAGCTTAAAGCCCCGGCCTTCCATCTTCCTGCCGGAGTTCATCGCCGCCAACCAGGAGGAAAGAGCCGACAACGTCCTGAAAGGAACCAAGGCTGAGCAGGTGGGCGGTGCGGGGAATAGCAGAGCCTGCCCCCTAGTCCAGCTGGCCCATGGTGACCCCTCTGTGGCCAACAGAGACTCCTCCCCCCCCAAAAAAGGCAAGGGGGGACAGATTCGGTGTGGGAGCCTTTCCGGCTTTGCCACTCCTCGAGCTCGGGGAGGTCCTTGGGCTTTGGACCCCGTGATGTTTTGGACTTCAGAAAGTGGTTGTCCTGGAAGGGGACCTCGGCGGTCATCTAGTCCAACCCCAGGAATCCGGAGTTGCTGCACACCTCACATGTGAGCACATCTCCTGCAGTGGGGGCCGTTTGTCCTAAACTTCAGTCAAAATCCGCTTCCTCGTTATTTGAACCCTTTATTTAGGGGTCTCAGCCTGTGCTGTCAGGGGCTGATGAGAACTGTAGTCTCTGAACATCTGGAGGGCCAGCGTTTGCCCACCCGAGCCAAGTCCTAATTTTCTTCCGAGATTTCACACAAACACGTCCCGGCTGCAGCTTAACTCCTGTGACTTGGAACAGGGTGCCTAACTTCATCCTGTTCCCACGCCCCTTGGCTAGGCTCCTCATGAGCAAGGCGACCCCTACGATTATGGGGTGGGGGCGGCATCTGGGAAGAGCAGGGCTTGAACCTGAACAGTTTCCTGATTTGGCCGGGGGTGGGCTGGATGACCTTCTGGGGTTCCTTCTGGCTCTAGGGTTTTGCCAGACAGCAAGTGGGTTTCTCTTGTTCGTGGGTTCATGCACTCCTGCCGGCTTCTGGATGCCCTTTCTCTGCTTCCAGATGGCCCAGATCCGCCGTGACATCCGGGACTTCAAGAACTCCAGTGGGGTGGACAAAGTGATTGTTCTTTGGACCGCCAACACCGAGCGTTTCTGTGAGGTGCGGCCAGGGGTGAACGACACGGCTGAGCATTTACTGCAGGCCATTGAGGTGAGGATTGGGTCCTTTTCCCTCAGGGTAACTGGGCCCCTAAGCCACCCCACCCCACCCACCCCCTCTTCACTCCCTCGCCCCGCCTTCTCCCAGGCCGGCCTGGAGGTCTCGCCGTCCACCCTCTTCGCGGTGGCTAGCATCCTGGAGGGCTGCGCTTACATCAACGGCTCTCCCCAAAACACCTTCGTGCCGGGAGCCGTCGAGCTGGCCGTCCAGAGGAAGGTCTTCATCAGCGGAGACGATTTCAAGTCCGGCCAGACCAAGCTGAAGTCCGTCCTCATCGACTTCCTCATCAGCTCCGGCATTAAGGTAAATGGGCTGCGGGGGTGGGGGGTGCCAGGACGGAAAGAGGAGCGCGGTGTGGGTCCTGGACCCTCTGTGGGTTGCCTCCGAGCTGGGATCGGCAGATAGCTGTGCTTTCCGTCTCTGGGGCTCGGCACCTTTTCTGGGGAAATCCTTGAGGACTAGCAGCGTGGGGTGCTTGTTGAGGCCCAGCCGCCGGCTCGATCTCTTTCCGTTCCCTGCAGCCTGTCTCCGTCGTGAGTTATAACCACCTAGGGAACAATGATGGGCGCAACCTCTCGGCGCCGGCCCAGTTCCGCTCCAAGGAGGTCTCCAAAAGCAGCGTGCTGGACGACATGGTCCGATCCAACCCTGTCCTGTACGGGCCAGAGGAGCGGCCGGACCACTGCGTGAGTGGCCGGGGGGGGACGACGGGGGACAATGCTGGGGATTGCAGGGCTGGCAGGAGGAGGGGGGATGGGGTTTCCCAGTGGAATACTCTACGTGTTGCTTCCCCCCCCCTCCCGGACAGGTGGTGATCAAGTACGTACCTTACGTGGGGGACAGCAAACGGGCCCTCGACGAATACACCTCCGAGATCGCCCTGGGCGGAACAAACACCATCGTGATCCACAACGTGTGTGAGGTGAGTGGGCTGTGCCAGCATCGAGCAGGTGGCGCCGGCTGATTTCTGGGGCAGGAATCTCCCAGGGGGCTTGATCAGCCGGGGGTCAGTTCCAAGACATGTTTCGATGCTGGAAACAGTGGATAATAGAGAACCCTAGGCCTAGCATGGTCTCTGCCTTCCTCTAGGGGCCAGTCCTGGTAACTACAGAATGGAAATCCTTGTTTCTGGGTGTTTTCTTTAATTTTTTTAGATCACAGGTGAGACTGTGGGACTATTTCCATGGATATGGAGGTCCTGCTATATTTCACCCACGTCCCCCAAGCCCAGAGTTTGGAAGGAGCCCTTCTGGCACTGGAGTTGTGTGAGCATGCCAAAAAGAAGCCTGAAAAGGGAGGCCAGGGCAAACCCCCCCCCCTCCCCTGGGGAGATGGACCAATTCCATATTGTTCTATGCCAGTCTTCATTTCGGGTGGGTTTAGATGACCTTTGGCGTACCCATCCAACTCTGCGTTCCTCCTACACATTCTTTGAGGCTCCTGGGCCACTGTTATCAGTCTACACATTCTTTGAGGCTCCTGGGCCACTCTTATCAAATTTGAGTTTGGGAAAGTTCCTTTCTTAGCTCTTACAACCACATTGCCCAAGAAAATGGGAATTCGTCATCTCCGAAGAAGGCAAATTTTCGAGCTTTCTCTTCCGAGGGTGCGGGTGCATATCCTGACACCCTGTCACCTCCTTCCCCCGAATTCTTTCTCCTTCTCACCCCCACTCCCTGTTTCCTCCTCCTCATCCACAGGATTCGTTACTGGCCGCCCCCATCATCTTGGACCTGGTCATCCTTACCGAACTTTGCCAGCGGATCCGGGTGGGGGTCGCAGGCGAGGGGGACCCCCAGCCCCTCCACAGCGTCCTGTCCCTTCTTGGCTTCCTCTGCAAGGCCCCCCTCGTCCCCCAAGGGGCCCCCGTGGTCAACGCCCTCTTCCGCCAACGGGCCGCCATCGAGAACCTGCTGAGGTACCTGGATCCGAAAACGGGTCCCGGGTGTCCTGGGGCGGCCTTGGGGTGGGCCGGCTTGGGGACCGCAGGAGGGAATCTGGGTGGGAGCCGCCAGTTCCTCACCCACTCCCCGTGGGAGGTTCGTTCAGGGGCCCTGCCGGCTGTGGTTGATGGGACTTGTTGTCCAGAATTGCTAGTGCATCCCCCGCTGCAGGTGTGTGTGTGTACAGATGGTGGCTCCCAAGGGGGACGGGGTCCCACACTCGTTTCCTAATCCTGCCTTCTCCTCTCTCTCCCCTCCCGCCATGTCCCGGACAGGGCTTGTGTGGGGCTTCCCCCACAGCACCACATGCAACTGGAATACAAGACCCAGCATCCGTGGGGCTGTGCCAAGCGCTTCCCAGGGCCCACCGCGCCAGCCGCCCCCAAACGGGCAGCCCCCCACCTCAATGGTTTCGTCTGCCCGGCGGAAAGCAACGGCCCCCCACCCCCTGTGGCCCGGGGCGGCCTCCTGGGCCTGCAGGACTAGGCAGGCGCCCAGCTGCTCCGGCCGGCCCGCACTGCAGGGGCCGCCCTCTTCCCCTCTTTTGCCGTCTCCTCCTTCTGTCTCCAGTCGTTTTGCGAGCTGTCAGTGCCCTTTCCCCCTCTTCCTCCTCCGTTTCCTCCTTCCTTCCTCTTCTGCATTTCTGTTTCCCAAGCCAAGGCTTCGGAAAGCTGTCAATGTGTTTTTTGTAGTTGTTGTTGTGGTTCCGTCAGGGAAATTTGCAAAATAAAAATGAACAAAAAAAATGAAATTTGGCCCTGAATGTGGCATAGCGCTGCACTGGTTGAATGCTGCTGCAGCGGAGCTTCCATATTCAGGGAGAATCTATTAGTCTGAAGAGGCTGTTTTATTGGCAACAGAAGTCGGCAAAGCTGTGGGCAAGCCATCCTTTCCTGACAACAGGTGATGGGATTTGTAATCCAGTGAGTTTGGGAGAGCAAGCAGTGGCAGAACCCACCCACCCCAATCCCTATGAACAAATCACGCTGCTCCAATGGCATATCGGGGTTTTTTTTTCTTTAAAAAAGAATTAAAATGACATTTATTGATCCAAGTCTTTTCACCAGCCATTTTTAAAAACTCAAGTGTCATTCTCAAAAAGCGATACTCAAAAGCCACAACGTATTTACACTGAACAACAATGGGGTGCATGTGTGTGACCCCACGGGCGCTCTCATGGGGATCAAAAGTCATCCCTACCTTCTATACAAACTTGAACAAACCCACAAATCTACGCACCCCCCCCAAAGTGGTTTGGAGACAGTAGGACCCCTGTGTCCGTGAGGGGGTCAGTTCCAAGCCACCCGCGGATGCCGGAAACCACAGATAATAGCAACCCTGTACATAGCATGGGCTCTGGTTTCCCCTAGTGGCCCATTCTGGTAATTACATGGTGAACTTCTACATTTTCGCATTTTTCTTTTAATATTTTTCATCTGTTCAGACAGTGGATACTGATCCCTTGGATACGGGGATCAAACGACAACAAAATCAGAACAAAACAAAGCATGATCTAGAGACGGCTGAATTGGCCCCCAAAGGAGGACACCCGCCCAAACACAGACCGGCAACAGGAGAGGGGGGCCACCCCTAGCCCCCCAAAATGCCCATTGGAAGGGGGCCTCTTTATCGTCACCTGAATCCTGGCTTCTTTGCATCTTTTCCTCTCCTGGCGCTTGGCCTCCCGAAAACCCGAGCACCATCCCCCACCACCACGGGGCAGCCCCCACCCCACAAAGTTCGCCCCAAGGAAGTCCGAGGAGCCAGTGCGGAAGGCAGCCCAGCCTGGCCCACGTCCCCTCCCCAAGAATGCCCAAGAAAAAGGGATCACCCTCTGGAAAAAGTGGGTCTAGCGTTTCACCCACCTGCCCAATCCTGCGGAGATTTGAACCCATGGCACCTCCAAGTTATTAGTTTGCTGAGTTTGGTGGGAGTGGGTGGGGGTTGTTGTCAGCTGGTTTGGCTTTAAAGGGGAGGGGCCCCTGGGTAGCTGGCCAAGGGGGGCGGTTTAGGGAGCCTTAAGACCCATGGAGGGGGGGCATCAGGTGGGCTCTGCTGGAGCATCCAGGCTGCGTCACACGCTCATTGTCACGCTGGGCGAATACTGGAGAGACAGACGGGAGACATCCC